AATATAAAATATAATGTACTTTTCCGTTTCGCCGGCGCAAATCCCGCCAAGCAGACTTTATTGGCGACAACGTACAATATACACAAAAAATGTTAACGAATGTTAGTTCTGAGAATTTTTTATTTTGAAGGCATAAACATTTTAATATCGTTTAAAATTTTGTAAAAAGCCAATAAATAAAGACAATAAATTTGTAAAAAGACGTTAATTTAAGAATTTACTGGTTCGTATCACTTGACCCCAAGTGATCTCATCTCTAGTAAACTCCGTTACAAAAATCTAATTCTCTCAGTAATTATCAACATTAATTTCAAGTTAAATCTTAATTTGGAAGTTTAAATGCAAGAATTATTTCAATTCGTACGATTAGCTTACTAGAAATTATGTAAAACCGCAGTACTTTACTTCGCTAGTGCATTCTCATTAGAATGGATGAATTTAACCCTTGACTTTGCCTTTTCTATATTTTATTTTCGCCTTCGGGTGAGCGGTGTGATTGCATTCTAATTGACTTAATTACCGCGAACGGTCTTAGGGCATAAAATTGAACTATCTGGTAAAAATTCTATGTAATTGTATGCCAGTATTGAAAGAAACAATCAATCTGATAAGAAATGGCTGCGACTTATTTTGAAAATGAGGCGTAAAAGGTTACCAGTGAGGATATTCTTTTTGGCATCAATTGTACCATTACTGGCAACTTTATCGCCGGTGCCGGCAAAACGGAAAAGTATCAAATATTAATAAACTTAATAATACTCAAAATACAATAAATTATATTGCAACAAAACGAACTTTAAAAAATTTACAAGTCTCAACAAATACCGATTCTCAACCCACAGCTCGGGAATTACGGAAATATATCATAGAGCATATAATATTTTATTCCTGTATTCTCACTACTTTATGGTGCTAATATAATATTCCACAGATTTTATATAAATAAAATCTATAACATAATAGGTATTTATACTATATGTAGTTTTCTTGATGTAAAAAGATTAATTATTAACTTTCGTACTGTAAAAATTCCATCTCTGTGAATAAGTATGAATATACTCATACTTATACACGTAATTATAAGTATCATTTATTAAATAACTAATTTAATGAAACACAAATTCTTATAGAAAAAATATATATAAAAATACCATTTACCTATATATATTAATAATTTATTATTTACAAATGTTTTTCATATATCATCTCAAAGGAACGAACATAAATTTAACTAAAGCGATGAATTATTAGAATAAATTTGAGTCAGTGTTTTAGGTATAACTTATTTAGATTTCTATTGTAGAAAAAATACTTTAAAAAGTGTATAGAAATATTATTTTGAACTATAAAAATTCTAAATAGTAAAATTTAAAGTACTGAAAAGGTAGCTATTCTTATTGACAGTAGATTATACAATATAAAAATACCTCATTTCCTGTATTTACAATGCCAAATGAAATTCATATAGTGCAGTATTTAGTAATATAAATAAATCTTCTGTACAGCCTTATACAAACGCAGTTAAAATTACTATCATTGCAATTAAGCGGATATAGCACATATAGTTTACATTTGTTTACAAACAGTTTTATTTACATTAATATCTATACAAACAAATAAATTTAGTGCAGAAAATTGTAACTACCATTTCCACAGCGTAACTAATTAAAGAAAATAATGTTTAAATATTACTCTAACTATATTTGAAAGCAATGCTAAAACAGTGCCCTTACAAGACTCATGATTCGAAAAGCTTTGGTTTTAATTGTCTTGTAAAAACTTTCAATTACTTCTGAAAAATTCATACCCACGTAAAAATTACCACACCTAAATCAATTGATTATACAGTGAAACTTTTCTAAAACAATCAACTCCACAATTCCAGATAATGCCAGTTTCCTGTAGCCTAACAAAACTATGAGTGATTTTAAGTACTGTTATTTAATTATGTTCCTGACAAATATGTCAAGAAAATAATGTTTAAATATTACTCTAACTATATTTGAAAGCAATGCTAAAACAGTGCCCTTACAAGACTCATGATTCGAAAAGCTTTGGTTTTAATTGTCTTGTAAAAACTTTCAATTACTTCTGAAAAATCATACCCACGTAAAAAAAATTACTACACCTAAATCAATTGATTATACAGTGAAACTTTTTCTAAAACAATCAACTCCACAATTACAGATAATGCCAGTTTCCTGTAGCCTAAACAAAAAAACATGAGTGATTTTAAGTACTGTTATTTAATTATGTTCCTGACAAATATGTCAAGAAAATAATGTTTAAATATTACTCTAACTATATTTGAAAGCAATGCTAAAACAGTGCCCTTACAAGACTCATGATTCGAAAAGCTTTGGTTTTAATTGTCTTGTAAAAACTTTCAATTACTTCTGAAAAATTCATACCCACGTAAAAATTACTACACCTAAATCAATTGATTATACAGTGAAACTTTTCTAAAACAATCAACTCCACAATTACAGATAATGCCAGTTTCCTGTAGCCTAACAAAACTATGATGATTTTAAGTACTGTTATTTAATTATGTTCCTGACAAATGTGTCACTATCAGAGGTGGTCATTCAAATAAATAGTTCACTTTTTATACTCCCAAGACTAGAACATTTAATATTATATAAACTCTATTAACTAGTGACAAATCTATTTCTATTTCAAAAGCAGTTTATGAAAAAAAAAAAAAAAAAAAACCATTTGAAATTTTCTTTATCAAACTAATAATAATGAAAATTAAATTTTAATAACCCAGTGACCGTAAGGATTAATGCTACAAATTCATTTCTTTCTAATTAGTGATATTATTATACCGTTTGTAAATATTTTGCAGCGATATACTTTTCACATGAAGTTCTTTTAAAATAATATATTTACAGAAAAGTTTTGTAATTACTTTATTTCGAATATTACGAATATGAGCGCATTTAAGATACGAGTTAGAGATTTTATATTCATCAAAAAGCTACAGAATTTCAATCGGGGGAAGATTTGATAAATAAAATGCGGTAATTAAAGCAGCAGTGACATAGAAGGGGGTGGAGATGGTGGTCAGCCTTGGGGGCCATTTTCCACGTGAAACATTATGTTATAGAGCCTAGTCATGTAGATTGTCTAGGCAGGTCTAGTCATGTAAATTGTCTAGGCAGGTGGAAGAAGAATGAGAAATTAAGTTAAGAAGAAAAATAGTTTTTTCTGCAGATAAAGTGTTCAAAGAAATTATAGAAACATTAGGTATTTTTGGAAGCAGGGAAGATGAAAAATTAACAATCGCCTTCGCCGGGATTCGAACCACGGACCTCTGGAATACCGGCCCAGCATGCAGACCATTACACCAGAAGGCACGCTAGGAAGGCGGGAGAAATACATTATAAAATCACCATTAGGTTTCAACACTTCCTATACCCTTTTTTATTCCGTCGAAACTTTTGACTGCAAATTATGAATCTCAACTGAGTTGTGATCACGTTGACAAAAACGAATTTCTCAGTAAGAGAGAAATATTTTAGAGTTTTATTTCCATTATTACTTGGAAAAATGAAACAGGAATGTGTAAAGGCAGTCCTTTTGAAATTCTGCAATCTATTCTAAAGTAAAATCTTCAAAACAAAATTTCAAGTAACGTAATACTCTGCTACGAACATTTTTTTCACAATTGCTGTATGTTCCTAATTGTGAGAAATGTTTTCTAAATAAAAATCACAGCAACTAGAACAATTAAGTAGACTTGCATACTGCAGTCGATGGTTTCTGGAATACACACACACAAAATAAAATAAATGATAAAAATTGCTGGAATCAAAATTTTCTTCAAAAACAAAGGCAAAATTTTAATTTATATTTTTATATGTCATTTTGACATTTTAAAAAATTATTTGCTTATGTATCAAGAGGGCCGGCAAATTCAGAAACTGCCTCAGGCAGCAAAATCTATGGCACTGTTAAGCAGTTATTTTCAATCTGAATTATAGCCTATTTATACTGATGGATTTCGCTTCGCATGAAATGCTGGTGCTTCGTAAGAAAATGCTGGTGTCGATATGTTGTCGAGGTTATTTGCTCGTTATATGACTCTTTTAAGTGTGATAGTACTCAAGAATTATTCTTTAAAAACAGCAGTTTTAAAGAGGTTGCTATCTTGTTTGACTCTGTAATTGCTATTCATGCTATTATTTCGTATATTTGGATTTTCAAAGATTAAACCAGGGAGAGAATATATAAAGTGGTAGCTAAAGACTACAAAACAGCATGCATAATTTTAAATCTTTTGTAGCTTAAACATTCAATACTAACACAATAAATTCAGGCTACAAAACAGCATGCATAATTTTAAATATTCTGTAGCTTAGACATTCAGCACTAACACAATAAATTCAATCTCATCGTGGAATATATGGAAGCGAAATGGTAGATTTGTTGGCAAAGAAAAATACCAACACTGTTCTTTTACACATCACACTGTACTTTTTACACTTGTACAAATCAGTTGCTAAATATAGATTTGCAAATAACATTTTCAAAGAAGATAGTACAGGAGGACGAAAAAATTAAAGGAAAAGTCTGAAAAGTCCTTGCTGCTGCTGCCCAGCTACACGCTGATGAAGTCTTCCGTTTAAAGAGTAGGAATAGCTCAGACTGACTGTACTAATATGTATACAGGTTTTAAACTCAATTACTACGCCAGTCGAGCTATATTTAGGAGAGATATAGAAGTGGATGCTTTCCACACCACAGACTAAGGAATAATGTGGAGGAATTTCAATTTGTGAACTCAGATATTTGATTATTAATTAGTTAGAAGAATCTTTCATAAAGAATTTGAAAATTAATATTTTACTACATTGTTATTTTTAGAGATCAGAAAAATCATACCAGTACTGTTTTCAAATTAATAAAGATTCACAATATTAACTGAATTTCTACATACATTAAAAATAATATTTCACCTACTGTTACAAAAGAATGACACAAAGCAACAAAAATCAAAACTGTAGATTAATTTTTATTATTAACTTTGCTATATTTCAGAAAAACAATGGCATATTCACCGTAAATATTCATACTTTATTTAAGTATGATGTATTCTTAATGCAAAAAGGGCGTTCTCAATATTTTGCAATGAGATCGAATTCTAAAATTTCTAGACGTATGCTATTTCCTTTAACAATTTATATACAAAAATAAATTACCATTCACATAAGTCTAAATGTTCCTAAGCTCTTTTAATATCTGAGAATAAAAAAACTTCAAAACAGCAGTCGACAGTTTTTGAGTCCATGGATTCTTCGTTGTACTGGCGTAAAATCACTTCATGCTCTTGTAGGTGAAAGCAATACAAGAATGTGATGAAAGAATGTGACTTTTCAAGATGAAAGAATTTGACTTATTTCTGCATCCAACAATAGCACAGGCACATAAAAAATCAAAAAAAAATATTGTCGTAATATACATATATTTCTTACAAAAACCTAATCCTGTTATTCATTTTTATTTAGAAAACATGTCTGCTCTTCAGGAATTCAACGGATCCTAATCACTCTTCTCTGAAATCTTGGACAGCTATCTGCAGATTTTTTAACTGAACGGATTTCGTAAGTGAGTTTTTTTATGAACATTATGAATTTCTGCAATGTGTCAATATGCAACTTCTGCACCCCATGGTCTGTACGGGCGGATAGGAGATGGTTGAGCTGGACCCTCAGGTATAAGACTAGAAGATCGTCCAAAGCCGCTCATCAGTGAGGTTGAACTACCTACCGCAGTCGGACTCAAAGGGATTTGTGGCTGCCTCCTTGATATTGGCGATCCGGCTGTGCTACTGCCGATATCTACAGACATTGCGCTGCTTGCACTGCTGGGTCTACGCTCTGATCCGCCTGCACTACTGCTGCTGCTGCTACATAAACTGAGATCTCGTGCACTGTTTCTAGAATGCATATTTGGGTATTGGGGAGTCGGCACAGCAGGAAGTGTAGAAAACCAAGGTGTATGGGCAGTGGCGCTTTGATGAGGGGATTTGAGGGCCAAGTCTCTCTGAGCGGAGAAGCACTGTAAGTGACTCATGAGCCGTAGCCGTAAGGGATCTTGTAGATCTAATCCCTCAAAGCCCACTAAATAGCGCGCCACTTCCGAAGCACACTCTCTAAAGCCGATACCATGATAGTCCATCACAAAATTATGTGGATCAAAGTTGAAAACATCCATTCCTATAAGGGAAAAAAAAAAAAAAAAAAAAAAAAAAAAAAAAAAAAAAAAAAAAAAAAAAAAAAACAAAAAAAAAAAAAAAAAAAAAAAAAAGAAAATAAGTTTGTCTTTAAGTAAAAATTAATGAGCAACTGCATATGCACAATACGTCTGAAAGAAAATAATAATAATGATAAAAATTTCAAATTCAAGTCTGGTAAAATATAAATGAAAAATCTGGTACGTGGAGGATGGAGTTTCAACAGAAATAAAAAATTATCACCAAATGCCGAAATAAAAAAAAAATAATAATAAAAATAAATAAAAGATCACACTATTTTTTTAAGCATGTTTTTTTTTCGAATCCATGTGTAAGCTATTTCATTGTAAGTGAAGGCATGAAACCTAAAATTACATATATTGGAAAGATCATTTAGCCGTTTCTCATCTATACATCTTATATTTGCATAACGTTCCATCGCTGTCACGATTCATTCCTATCCATATTAATAGTAAATGACCACCACGACAAGGTGGTTATAGTCTTGGATCGGGTTCAAATTCTGGAGAAGGCATGGCTGTTTGTAAGCGTACAGTGGTTTCTGGAGCATGAGGAGTCTTAAAATACTATTGACCTGAAAGTCATATATTTTTAAATTGTGTTCAAGTAACTCTGTCTGATCTGCCAGCCATTACCCTGCTGTGGTGGCTGCTAGATTAGATTTTTTCCAGTAGGATGACATTAATCCCATTTGGTGATTTGTCCCTTACGTCGGAAGTCATCCCGCTGGTAAGTTGTTGAGCTTAAAGTGCTTTCGAGAGGTGATAAAAGTTGAGGAAAGAATGGTAAAAGATCTTAGGATCCGTCTCCCAGGGGTCTCGTCATCAAAACGGTGACAGGATTGGGCAAAATTATATTGTCACATGATAAGTTGCTTAAGGTTAAAAAAAAAATCTGATTCGAATTTTGAAAAAATCGCTTCGAGTTGCACTGGCTCTTGTCTAGATGCACCAATGTACCAAATTTCGCAGCCCTGGGTCTTTTCGTTTACGAGCAGCACTAATGAAATACACACACACACACACATACCACAGAGACAGACACTTTCTTTTATTATATGTAGAGATTTTATTATTAGATATTTCATTTATTTATTTTCTCCCTCCTTCCTGATGGCTTTCTAAAGTATTCCAGCATCCCGTTTTAAAAATTAAGCCCTGCCGCTGTCCCATATGATGTGTTAACCAAAGCATATGATTATAGCACATAAAGCACTAGCAGATGAGAAATATTATCAACAGATATTATGAAAGTGAATGAAATTAACTACTAAATGGGGATGGAAAGCGAAGAAAATACTTCGATCCAGTAAAGCATCCATTTATATTTAAGGTAAGAGAAAGCAATATATCGTCATACATCACTTGTGTCTTGTTTTGTCCTATTGTTATAAAGAATGGCGTCAAAACCAGTTAAGGATAAAAGGAAGGGAAACTGCAAATGTACCCAAAACACATTGTTAAAAAAAGAATAGCCGTGGGAGGAAGGAGAAGGAGCAAATTGTACCGTGAGACAAGAGAATTCACCGAGACAGCGTTCGCTAGAAATAAAAAATTTTAAAAAAATTCTCCTCGAAGATTCACCTACTTTTTTAGTCAGCCGTCTGCTTCACACAGAAGAGGGAGAGAGGTGAGGGTGAGACACGGATTTTCGTGGGAAACAACATCAACAGACAAGATTACAAGGGTTTTTCTTTTCGAGGGCATATGATAGCTTGCACGCGTGTCACTTGCAACTCTGCTCTGACAGCATCACCTTTGGCATTTGACTGAGAGAACAATTGTCAAGAAACTTCCCTGCAAAGTTTTCTGTTTTTATCTGTCCTTTTTTTAAAGGATAATGATATATTTAAAGAGATATACCTTTTTATATGTCAAATTATCATGCTTTATGGATTACTTTTTTATTCATTATTATCCCCCCCTTTTTTTTTTTACTTAAGACAAAGTATAAATTACGAATACATGTTAGCTCAGCAAAATTTGTCATAGCTTCCTTTATATCAAATACGATTTCAACTGATTTCCAATTCCCCATCTCCTATTTTGTTTCTTCGGGAAATGTAGATTCATTAGAATAAATGATGGACACTCATAAGAAATTCTCTTGCAAATTAAAATGGTTTATTAATACTAATACAGTTCTTAATCTTAAATCAAAGATCTTTATTATATGGAATATTATACAGTTAGAATTCACTACTCACTGCCACTTTTAAGGAACTATAAATACAGTGGCGACTTTATGAAGTGCCGGGCCAACTTCAACTGTAGGTGATTTTTCTTTGGATATAGAGGGTATATGCTATTCTTTTTTAGATCATTTATTTGTTTAAATAATAAGATTTAAGGACTCTTCGAGTTGCGAATTACACGACGCTATAAATCCGCTTTATGGATATAAAAGATTTCGTCCACCATCGTTTGAGAATCATAACAACAGTTATCCTCGTGTTATTAATTGTTTCCCATCAGGACATTTATCAGAGGTCTAATTCTGACAGACTTAAGTTTATTTATCGAATATTATGCGTTTTATCAATTTTAGTTCTTTTGTAAATACTCAAGCAACCCCCCCTCCTTTTGCAAAAGACTCTATTAATCTTCATTATACGTTTCTTCAGTTGCCTTCATCAATGACTGGTTTAAGAGTTTAGAGATAATTGGGGTACAAAATTAAATCTTCTTAATTATTTCTTTTACGTGATATAAGCGAAAATTAAAAAATTACGAGGTTTTGTCCGTTATAAATAAAGATTAGAAACACAGCACGTTGTCGCCAATTGACGACGCATAAGATCTTTTAGTTATTTTTAATGTTAAAAAAGTATATTGCTCAACGATGTATGTATCATTCAGAAAGGTATTTTAGTAGAAATTTTAGATTACATTTTGTTATAAGCGTTATTTTATACCAACGTGCGATAAATAAAGAAGTATTACATTTGTGATTAATAATAATTATTTGGATTACCCGAAAGCCCTCAAGAGATTTCGATTCTCTGCTGGTATTAATCCTATGCAACAATCCTAAAAAGGATAATTTAATCAAATACTTAACGTCTTGATTATGCGCCACTGCTAATTATAAATCTTGTCTATGGTTTGAAAATATCGATTGTATGTCGGTGGCCTGTGATTACTGTGTGGGTTAAAAATGTTCATTATTACATTGTTCATTATTGGGTTAAAAATGTCCATGTCAAAAGGTTAATGTATGTATTAGGATATGTATTAAATGTTTTTAGAGTAATATTTTATATATTAAAACCATTTAGTCAACTATTCAATTAACAAAGAACAGAAAAACAGAATAACAAGGTCTGCTTCCTGTTCCGCACTAAGCTGTAAATTTTGAATTTCCATAATAAACTAATTTTTTTAGCCTTATTTAACATAGAAAATGCATGGGACATACAAGTCGCAGCCCCGACGAAAAGGTTAATGCTCTTAATCATTATTACATCATTACCAAAATTTCTGTATTAACCATGAGCTAGTAACGGATGCCCATGAAATGCTGTAGTTGAATATCGATCCTATCCAGTAGTTGACATTCAACGCTATGCCGGTCCTAAGGATATGAACTAAAAAAGAACCCTCCTCCGCTGCTTCATTTGCACCGTCGTCAACGGCGAGGGAGAATAAGAGGGGTAAACAGACGAAACGTTTGTAAGACTAATTATTTCCGGTTCTGCCTACTTCCAAATTACAGTAATCGCCCGCCGCTCGTTAATAAAGTGACCAGACAGGCAATTGGCCCGCAGCAGTGCTGGATCATGAACCTTTGGCTACCGGAATTGGCGCCCTTGGCGTGTCTTTCCGGCCTACGAGAATGTTCCCACGGCTGCGAGATGGGGACAATTACCGCGATCTGACCCCTACCCTACGCCGTGCACGAGGCCGTGTGCACGCCGGGGGATCGGAATCCCAGTTACGCTGCTTTATTTTAAGGGAGAGTGGAAGTATGCTTCAGCGAATTACCACTATTTAAAAAAAAAAAAAAAAAAAAAAAAAAAAAAATTAAAGAGGAACCGAAACTCAGATACCAAGAAAATCGCAAAAATATATTTAACATGTTTTAAAAATTTGAAAACATTTATAACTGCCTTTCGAATGCTGAGTTCAGTTTTACGAATCTTCTATCTGTTGCGCCTCGAAACACTTGTTATGACGCTACTTAATACCTTTATTGCCCAGATGTTTCGGAAAATAATAACAAGCTTAGAAAATATCGGCTCCTAATAAAAGTAATCTTTCAAATGTCAAAAGCTCTACCTGTGAACAAAAAGCTCAGTCGCTTAAAAGTTTAAACAGCCCTTATCATTCAAACCAAGTAATTTAACGACTTAAGTTCATGGGATCGCCATTGCGTGAGTTCAACATAAATATTTACGACATCGGCAGAAAATTAATAATTAAGTATAAACACTATAAAACAAAAATTTTTGATAATTGTATAATAATAAATAAGAGGATAAAAGGAAACTTTTCACATTTACGTAGTCATCACAGGCATACTTACGATCAATACTGTACACAGTAAATACGATATAAGATCGGCACCGGTAAATAATCCACATGTTCATAACACAGACAATGTATCAGCAATGGTGCATAACCTAAAACGGCGTTTTTCAACCAGTGTAAGCGTATGCCAGGAGTACGTGACGTGGTCGCATAGAATATGCGGAGAAAAAGATGTAATGTTGGATGTTGGACATTGATAGATAAACTTAACAGCAGAAAAAAGATAAAAAGTTGGCCTGAAAGAAGTATATCCTGAACTATTCAACGGGACATTCACTCATTCTGCTACCGTTCACAAACATGTATGAAAGGACAGGGGATTCCCGTCCTATACACTTGCTTAAAACATAAGTACAGAAATAAATTATCCAGCGTAAGTTCGGACATAAGACTGTATTTGCCATTTACCGATCCGGATTTAAAATTACTGAGT